ATAAATAAAACACTGCAAAAGAGACGAACGAATGAGGCAAATTTTTTATAATCTCTAGAATTCAGGAAAAAGTGGCAATAATTCGTTTGCATTTTTACGTATTTTGTTTCATTTCATTAGTGTTAGGAGGTGGACTTCTTGGGTGCATCAGTTTTAGTACTCGTAGCATTATCCGTATCACCAGCAGCCATTTCGCTTGATGCCTTTCGCTTCCTTGATTGTTCTTCTTCTTTTTTCGGCTTAACGATTTCAGACAATTTCGAGAACAACTGCTCTGTGACAAATTCAGACGCCTGAAGTTTAGTAAACATAAAGTTCGCCTGCATGTCCGTATAATTCTCAAGATGGATGTAAGAGCTCCGTGTTGATTAACAACTCAATCATAAGTAAAATCATTTGAACAAACATCTTCATGAGACATTTGAACAAATAAATAACCTGAACCAAAGCAACTATACATTCAAACAACTAGAAAGAGATGTTTTCCAAGCTAGAAAGTCAACCAACCGTGGTGAGGAATAGAACGGGTAGCTCAGAATCCGGTGTTGTTGCGGAAAATTTGATACGTTTTGCTGAGACTTTCTCCAGCACCATGCCAGTGAACAGTCGCGAATTCAGCACTACGCGTTGATTACCCATTGAGCGACCGACTAAAATTGCACAAGAAATTTATTGAAAGTCCAACNGCGTTGATTACCCATTGAGCGACCGACTAAAATTGCACAAGAAATTTATTGAAAGTCCAACGAAAAAGCAACTTCTGAGGCATTTTCAAAATTGAATTGTGATCTAAAATCATGCAAAAATAAACTGAAATAAAAATGGAACAAAAAAATCACCGATCCGATAGTGTGCAGTTGGCTCTTCATCGATACGATTGATTCGCACTGAGCTCATACCACGTTCATGCCATGATTTCGTGTTGATATCGAACGAATGCAGTTTGCACATCGCCTTTAAATTAATCTTATGAAAACTCCGCTCATTATTATTATTATTACCATTTTATCACTACCATCATCAACATTACCACCACTATCTTCACTTCCATTACTACAACTATCTTTTCATCATTTCTAGTTCAACTAAACAGTTTTTCGAAATATATAAACTCATTCTGAGTCACGTATCGTCACGAGTTAAACGATGAATGTGGCGCCATCAATTATTACTGATCTAACAATGATCGAATAACGCGCTTACATGATGGATATTCACTTCGTTCTCTTCTCCAGTAGAAACGTCAACATGTTCAGAAGATTTCGTAGCCGCAGATTCACGACGCTGCGTTTCTGCTTCATCGGCTGATTCCTTCAGTTTCGATGACGACGTTGACGCACTCTCCTCCTCCTTAA